CTATGTTAAAATCAAATTATAGGTTTACTAAGTCCTTTATTGGAATTTTTAGTCTATTTATGTAAGATTTGTTTTTATTTTTTATTTTAATGATAAAAAAGCTAAAATATTGTTATTTAAAAATTCCAAAACAAGAGAAAAACAAAGAGTTATACCTACAAAACTAATGGCTATATCATCAAACACAAATACCCCTAGCCCTATCATGAAGAAGACAAATATTCCTAAAATTCCTAGGAGTTGTCACAACCAAAAGCCACTCCTCACCAACAACCATCACTTCTAAGATTCCTTTCACCACCATAAGGTCTCCATCCTGTCTTCCAGCTGCTACCTCTCACCACCTCTAGACATAACTAGGTTATGATGCAAGTCGATACACAACCCTTCTTGCTGTCAGAAACCTAATGCTAGCCATCACCACAAGGCCTAGGACCCTAATATCGTTTGCACACCTGAACGTTTTAGAAACCGTCACACACGACCAAAGCATTTCAAAGGCCACCATCAAGTTTGAAGGGTTAGCATCCACCATCATCATCTAAGCAATTTGTTAATTTAATATGATATTACATGAGATTGTATCTAAATCATTATTATTAAAATACTATTTTTTTCCTTTTTCCTAAACACGATTTTAAGAATTCTACACCAAAATAACCATTTTCAATGAGGACTATATTAAACACTATGTAAGAGCATGAGGACTATTTTGATAGTAACTCGTTTAGTAATTTGAACAACATAAAAACTAAACGTGATCGTTGTCTAAGCCAACACAATGGGTAGCTACCCCAACTCTTTAGAAATTGATACAACGAAAGCCTACCTCTCTCCTTCTATACAAAACTTTTCTCTTTGGGTTAGGGTTTTCTCTTTTTAATTGTAGTGTATTTTGATGTGTATTTACTTGCTTAACTCTCCGTTTGTAAATTTTTGTCCTCATAAATCAATTTTGTTTTGATCCTAGGGTTTATTTTAATCCTTAGGGTTTAGTTACTTTGATGGTTTTGATCTCTTCATCTATTATATATTAGTTTTTTTATTATATCACTTTTCTTGATTGTTTTAGTGATTTGCAAATCTTATAGCTATGGACAAAGGCAAGAAACCAATCATAGAAGAAGAAGATTTAATGTTCTCAATAGAAAAGTATTATTCAACTTTGGCTTCATCGTCAACACATCACCTTTTGCTAGATATCAATATTGCATATGTGGGATTAGGTAAATCAATAGCCAATTGCTCAATATCTAGCTTTATTCATTAAGTGGTTGAACTTAAATTTTTTTGATCTACAAAGAGGTCAAAGCATGATTTGTTTAGCAGTTGACTGTTTTTTTATCAGCAAAAAATATACTTATATTATCGAGGTACAAGTGTACCTTAAACTTTGGACATCATTCTTGAACACAAGATACTCAATTTTCTTAGAAATCAATGATCATTCTACCTTAAGCATAAATACGGGTACTATATCCAATCATTAAATGCAAAATCCAAACCCTCCTTTTTCCCTTTTAGCCAGACAAAGGACTTAGCTTGTATTAAATGTCTCCCATTAGTCCCCGAGGAATAATACCATTTAACATCGACCAAATAGCTCATATTACCACACATAATATTAAAGCTCCCACCTCCCAATTGGACTCGCAAAACATACTATGTACAAGTTGAATACACAAAACTTCTACAATTTCTAGGTATATAAACTTTATATTGTATCACTTGCAACATTGCAACCACAACCTCTAGGTTCTATCACGATTTCTTTAACATGATGTCCTTAGTTTGAATTATATTCAACAAAACCCTCTATACAATCACAATAATTTTTGGGGGATTCAAAGGAGACCAAATTACCTTACATAGTTGTTTATACAAACAATAATTTTGTGGCATCATCTTCTTAAAAGCTTCCTATACTATGTAACCCTTAGTTCTATTATATCTCTAAATAAAGTGAAAAATCACATCTGACCTGTTAACTTGATTCTAATTCAACCCATAAAAAGCGAGTTAGGGTCAAGTAGTATTGGACCCATGACCTATTCGGGTCAACGTGAACAGGTCAAGGATCAAACATTGGTCAACCTACTGGTTCATGGGTTGACTCGTTTGACCCGTTTGTTTTTAAAATTTTAAGAAATATATTTTTTTAAGATAATTTTTTAAGGTGAAATAACTAGCAAATATAATTTAAAAGAAATCTAATATGATGGTGATTATTAAAATTTATAAAACTTTTTAAATGAAGTTGATTATATTCATTTAAAATTTATAAATCAAGTATTGTATACTATATATGATTATCGATAAAGAAAACAAAAAATATTAAATGAATTATTCAAAATATTCCACAAAAAAAAGTCATTTTACTTGAACAAATCAAATAGGGAGAAGCAAAATTATTAAAAAATAATCATATCAAAGTTATTATAATTTAATTTTAATAAATTAGTATTAAAAATATGACCAATTATATAAAAGAATAAAAAAGCTCAACCCATAGGTCAACTTGTGACTCGTTAGGGTGGGATTAAGGTCAATATTTGTTAACTTGTAACCTGTAAAACTTGTGATTGGAGTAAACCCAATCCGAACCAGACTCAACTTGCCCGTTTGCCACTTTTATCTCTAAACCTTTATGGCCTTTATTGAAGCATCTGATTTGGCCTCACGTAGCAATTCTTAAAGATACTATAATTCCTTTATCTTCCTACCTCTAGGATTTCTCCTCTAATTAAGGCTCCAATACTTCCTCCCCAATGTCTTACCTCTGCCACCTTCCCTTTCCTGTGCAAACTTAAATAAAATAATCTTGAAAATAAGTCGTTAAGGACTTCATTTCCCAACCCAGCATCAATCTAGAATTGATTTTCTCACTATTTTTTTCCCTCATATACAAATCCCTTTGACATTGTCTCTCTTATTTTTTCACTTATCCCCTAACCTCGATAATTGCTCCAAACTCTTGAAACTTTTTTTTGAAAATATTTTGTACATTCCATCAATCTTGACCCTTATAATATTTTGCTATAACTATTTTTTTCCATAGCACACCGCTCTCTCTACAAAATCTATCCCACCATTTTCTTGATAAAGCCACATTTCTAATTTGTAAATCTAAAACCCCTAATGCTCCTCAATTTTTTCACACACACTATATATCCCATTGAACCCAAGCTACCTTTCTTTCCGCCTCACCTCCACCTCATAGAAAATTTCATTGTAATCTCTTTCTCATAGAAATTTTCATTGTAATGTTGTTAATTCACTCAAAATTCATTCGGTATATCATATAACAAAAGGAAGTAGATAAGAAGAGCTACCAAGATTGACTTGAGCAATGTAATACAATCACCATAGGATAGAGATTTCCCTTTCTAGATTGATAGCTTTGACTTTAATTTTTTCACTCTCGGGAGCCACATATTTCTTATACTTGTATTATCTCCTACTAAGAGACCAAGGCACGTAAAAGGTATATATTAAGCTTGTTTTACACTCCATTATGGCTGTAGGTTGCTCTAATCATCTCTTATAAATGTTGAAGCTATACAAGATGCATTTTTTAAAAAATTTATCTTAACCTTGACAATAATTCTAGCCATCTCGAGATGCATTTTATTGGCCAAATATTCTCCTGTGTTGCTTCCCCTATAATAGTTGTATCATCAACACATTGTAAATGTGAGATGCTCAGGCCTTCCTTCCCAATGCCCGCTTTTCTAAACAAACCTTTATCCTCAGCTTCCTTCATTAGAATATGGAAGCCTTTTTGAACTCATTTTGAAAAAAAAGTTATAGGGGTCCCCCTATCTTAGCCCTATTTCCATTTTGAGCTCATTTGTTGAGCTATTGTTGACAAGTATAGAGACTGAAGTAAATTCAAGACACTCCTTGACCTAACTAAACCCTTTTTCCCCAAACCCATTAATCTCGTAACCTTTTCCAAAAATTTCTAATTCATCCTGTCATATACTTTCTCAAAATCTGCTTTGAAAATGAAACTTTTCTTTTTCTTTCATTTAATCTCATCAACCACCTCATTCAAAACTAAAACTCCAAAAATGATGTCTGATTAGTACTAACCACTTTAGACACAATTATCTTCAATATGTTGGCTAGCACTTTGGCTAATATTTTATATAAACAATCTATTAAGCTAATAGGTTTATAATCATTTAGTTTTATTAGGTTTGCTTTCTTTGATATTAAAGTTATAAAGAAGAATAGATGCCTTTTACCAGTTTCCAGTTGCATGAACCTCCTTAATAAAGCTTTGTATATCCACTCCAATCACATCCCAAACCTACTTTATAAAATGAAAGTTAAATCCATGTGGTCCTTTCTCACCCCACACTTTTCAATAGTTTCTTAAATCCTTTTTTATAATAAATTATTCCTCTAGCCATGCTTTATCCTTTCAAATTGTATTGAAACACAGACCTTCCATGCATGGCCTATGTTCCCCATCCTATAGGAATGTGTTTCTAAAATATTCTACTACCATAAACTTTACCTCCTTTGGCGCTTTCACCAATTCTTCCTATTTCCATAGACCTGTTATGCTATTCTTCCTTTTCCTACCATTTGCCATCGTATAGAAGACTTTAGTGTGACATCACCTTCTTTAGACAACACCATTCTTGCCTTATGTTTCCAAGAATTTTTTTTTTTGTGCTATTCCCACTTTTCTTTGATTCTCTCTCTCTTAGCATGTTGATCTTCTTGGCACAGTTATTTTCTCTTCACTTTTGAGATCTAACTTTTTCACCTTCTTTATTGCTTCCTCCAACTTCCTATCAATGTGACCAAAAACTTCTCTATTTCACTTTTTAAGGAATTGTCTCAACTTAAAAATTTTTCTTTATAAACATATGCCATCCATCCTTCCATCGTGAAACTCTTTCATTACTCCTCCACGAACTACTTAAAATCAGAATAAGATGTCTAGCTATTTAGAACTCTAAATGGTCTTAGTCCTCAGTTCCTATCATCACTTTTCAACATTATTGCATAGTAGTCTGAAATTGATCTCCTTAAAGCTACTTGAATGTAGCTTCCCCATACATCTACCATTTTTTCATTGCTATGCCATTCGATTTGTACCAAATATACTACCTTTTAGCCAATGGCAAATCAATTAGCTCATTTCCTACAATGAAGTTAGTAAATGCTTTGACATCAGGCCTATCCACTATTCTTCCTTTAAGTTCAGAAGCATTTCTTTGAACACTGTTAAAATCTTCAGCCAAACTCCTTGCCCCTTCTCTAATCCTCATCTCCTTAGATAACTCCTACCACAGTTATTTTTTCTTAGAAAAGCTATTACAAGGTGCATATATATTCACTAGAACTGTCACACCCCAGAACCCAAATCCAAGGCGCGACAGACGCCGTGCACTCGTGAGACAAGTACAACAAATGCACAAGGCTCAGAACTTATCACACCACAATTTGATACCACCAAAATCTGAAGATCAAATCTTTAAAATTTCTCCGATATCATAAATCTCCAAATACACTCTAGCTTACAAAATCACGATTTATTTC